TTGTATAATGTAATCATTTAGTGTTTATTTTATTGTGTGTACCTTCTACTCAGAGGGTTGGCATTATTGTTCCTAACAGTGACGGATACAAGCAGATCATGCCTTATGACCTCTACCATCCCCTTCCTCGGTACGTAAATCAATCACCCTGATGTTAGAATTAGCAAATCAGTTTTCTGCTGCTTTTTAAAATATATATATATATACATATATAGAGATTCTGTGTTCTTCTGTAAAAATAAGATGGTAGATGGTATATTTTGCAATCCATCCTGATTTCTGCTTTTAAATAATACTGCCCTATTCAGACTGTAAGCTTGTCATTCAAAAACCATTTTAAGATAGGATCATGTTACACAGGAGTGGACACAGTTATTCACTCTCATTAGATACAGTGTATGGGTTTATATTATGTCTTTCTTTAACTCTCTTTGTCCTTTTCTATGTTTCCTCTGCAATCGGACCCCAGTCATTAAAGCACTGTTGCTAACTGTTAAACAAACACTGCCTAAAGTATTATTGCAATACCACGGATGTGGAATTCCAGATGTGGTATTATTCTGCACAGGGGCTTTAAATGTTCTCTTTATTTCAAAAAATTATAATTAAATACGAAAGGCATTTTTTTCATATCTTTATTATTCAGAACATTTGGGGGGACTTATTTTTCTAAAACATAAAATTTGATGTGCTATGTTGCTTTTTTAAAGTATAACATTTTTTAAAACTAGGAAAAATAATGAAAGTAATTCAGGAACTTTTAAAAGAACTTGTTCTCTTTATAATATATTCATAAGAAAACTGGAGAAGCTGAAAAATATACTAGCTACTGAGAATGTTGCCTGCCACATTGGAAATACCTCCACAGATAGCAGAAATTAGAATTGGGTTTGAAATAGACCTTGGCTCTATTTTCTTTGCTTATTTGGCCCTCAGGGAGTCAGCTGCTATTTAGCACTAAAGGTTTAAATCAGATTATAAATAGTTAGAATAATCCATAGTACTTTGCCCAGTCCCAAACTAAACCAAGCCCAGAAAATCATCTTATTCTGAACTGTAAAATAAAGCAAGATTTGGTTGAAAATCTCAAAAATCCTAATGAATTAGAATCCAAGTACAGGTTCCTTGAGGTCATCTAGTCCAACTCCACAGGGATGCTTTATTCTCCCCATTCCTTCCACAACAGCCATACCCACACATTACAGATATGTAAACATATATATTCACACAGATTTGCATTCATATATTTTTAATTTACATGTGTACATACACATATATCGATATTTTTATAATATGTACACACCAGTGCAAGTTGTTGTCTACTGTCTGCTTAAATACTTCCAGTGACTGGTAGGGAACTCACTTTTTATCATTCTACTGGTAGCATGGAGAGAGGGGGATTTGATTTGTACTAGATACAGTTGTTAAGTTTTTTCACCAAGTGGCTACCTCATTCATTAGTCAGCTCTCTTCCACTTTCCCTATGACTGTATTGATAAAGACGATAAATGACTTTAGAATGCTCCTGATGTATTATTTTGCTAGTTTGATCCAGAGCTCTTCTTGAAAAAGATCTAATAAAAATATCAAAAGATTAACTTAACTGAACCAAGATTTTATTTGATTTCAATTTCTGTATCTGTAAAATCAGTATTCATGGGACACGTGTATCTGTTGTGTGAAAGTCACAGGCAAAGTTAGGTGTCAGGCGTGAGCAACCTCAAGTTTATGTTTTCCTTTGATGGCAGCCCTAGATTTCTGTCATATCTATGGTCTCTTGTGTTCATATTTCTCTGGCATACTAGTGCCTATCTTAAGTTAAACTTTATTTCTTATAGATTAGGATATCCCCAAAATGTCTAAAGCCCAGTGGTATGTTGAAACTATCCTTCTTGATGTTTGCTGCACCATGTCCTGTGTACACATTTAGTATGTCCAAGCATCACAGTGGGAAAGGACAGTTAGCCAATAAACAGACTGTATTACTTACTCCTTGCACTTCTGTTACTGAACTAGCTCTAAAGTTAGATATTCCGCTTTACTGGTAAAGTCTTAGTAAGTGGATGCTAATAATGTGTTTTCATTTTATAGGAAGAGTTAAGGCTCAAAAGTGTTCTCAAATGGCATCTACCCACTGATCAGAAAAGTCAAAGGCTTTACTTATTTAAATTATTTAACTGGGTTTAAGACCACAAGTATAGATACAAAACACAATGAATTTTTAGATTGTTCCTTTCTGCTTTCGGTCTTTGACTGTAACACATATCCAAACATAATACAAGATGTATACAATTCTTATGATTCATAATTAATATACATCACTCTTCTACATCCTTCTTAACTCTGAGAATTTCTTAAACACATTATGTGTTTATGATTCATAATTAATATACATCACTCTTCTACATCCTTCTTAACTCTGAGAATTTCTTAAAATAAACACATTATGTGTTAAAAAAAATTAAAAGCCAAAGGAGTTAAAATATATGATATATGAATTCATCTAATGTTCTTCCAGGACAAGATTCTTGGATATGTCTTTTTTGTTTTCCAAGCACTTACCTGGACACTGTTTTAAAATCTTCTGACTGATGCCTTCTCTCAGCTTTTGTAATACTTTCTTTAAAGCGCCCAGACATGTTTTGCCATAAAATTCCACATAATCCTATTATTATACAAGGATTCATGTGATAATTTTTAACACATAGAACTGTAGTTATATCCTGGAATCATACTATAAATTCTTTTTTTTTTTTCCTTTTTGTCTTTTTTCGTGACCGGCAACGGATCGCAACCCTCAGTGTCGCGCCCGTACCGGACCGGGACCGGCAAGGGATCGCAACCCTCGGTGTTGTGCCCGCACCTCGCTCAGCCAGTGAGCGGCCGGTCTGTATGTGGGATCCGAACCCTCGGCGGGAGCGCTGCCGCACTCCCAAGCGGCGCACTGTAGCAGTGCGCCACCAGGCCGGCCCCCATACTATAAATTCTTAAAATAATATTAGCCTCGTTTGTCTTTCTGTGATCAGTGACATGAAAAAGGATACTTATTACCATTTGTGAAATTACACTATGGTCAGGTCCAAGTGTTGAGACAGAAATTAATCACTCTCCCTTTAGAAGGGTCAAGTTTAGGGATTTTAGAGTACAAATTAGAAAATATGCTCTTTTATGGCATCTTAATATTCTAAGAGATTAAATAGACATTCAAAAACATATTCCTACTTCACTGTCAGATCCAATGTGACTATGTACTTATACATTCAGCCCAATTTCCATCTGAATCAGGCCTGTTATCCACCTCCAGAAGGAAGCCCCCAGAGATTTACATGGAGACAAATGAGAATTGGTCTAACTCTTTTGGAAGAGAAACTCTCTACAGAGCTACTTGATCTTTTGAAAGAGATCAGAAAGTCTCCTAAGGGCTAAACAGAAAGCCTCAGTTTCCCCATAATGACATTTTCTTATGTGTCTCTTGGGGAAATATGCATAAGAAAATATTGTATTTGGCAGCATGTTTTGGCTGTTGGCAGTGGCAATAAAAGTTGTTGCCTAAACTTAAACACTGCAGAGAAAATGTGGAAGAAAGCCCTCCATAACTGGGAAACACACGTTATCCAGGCTCATGCAGGAAAGAAATCAAGCTCACAATGTACATGAAATCCTACTTATAGAATAATTAATGTCTCTGTAGTATGCCTGTGCAACATTTTAAAATTTCACTATTCAAGTGGATCAACTCAGTGACATTTTGTAGATAGATAGATATAGATATACATATAGATATAGATATAGGTATAGATATAGATATAGGTATAGGTATAGATATAGATATAGGTATAGGTATAGATATAGATGTAGGTATAGGTATAGATATAGATAGAGGTTTAGGTATAGGTATAGGTATAGATATAGGTATAGGTATAGGTATAGATATAGATGTAGGTATAGATACAGATGTAGGTATAGATATAGATATAGGTATAGATATAGATATAGGTATAGGTATAGATATAGGTATAGGTATAGGTATAGATATAGATGTAGGTATAGATACAGATGTAGGTATAGATATAGATATAGGTATAGATATAGATATAGGTATAGGTATAGATATAGGTATAGGTATAGGTATAGATAGAGGTATAGATATAGGTATAGATATAGGTATAGGTATAGATATAGATATAAGTATAGGTATAGATATAGGTATAGGTATAGATATAGATGTAGGTATAGATATAGATATAGGTATAGGTATAGATATAGATGTAGGTATAGATATAGATATAGGTATAGATATAGATGTAGGTATAGATATAGATATAGGTATAGATGTAGGTATAGGTATAGATATAGATATAGGTATAGGTATAGATATAGGTATAGGTATAGATATAGATATAGATATAGGTATAGATACAGATATAGGTATAGATATAGGTATAGGTATAGATATAGATATAGATATAGGTATAGATACAGATATAGGTATAGGTATAGGTATAGGTATAGATATAGATATAGGTATAGATATAGAAACTACGGGAAGAAGGACTGAGGATCGAACTTCCACCTGTGATATAGGTATAGGTATAGATATAGATATAGATATAGGTATAGATACAGATATAGGTATAGATATAGGTATAGGTATAGATATAGGTATAGATATAGATATAGGTATAGATATAGAAACTACAGGAAGAAGGACTGAGGATCGAACTTCCACCTGTTGAGTAGGTTACAGACAGCACAGATGTCCTTGTGGACAGCTCTCAAAACTAATCTCTCACACGTGTGTAGAGCTTCATGGTTTACAGAGCACTTTTGCCAACGCTGAATCCTTCCCTCTTACTTGTCAGATTTCAGGCAATAGATGGCTTTGGTTCTCTCAGAACCTGGTTTTCCCATAGGCCCTGGGAATGGGGTGGGTCTGACAGGTCACTGAGGAGATCTGGCAATGTGCATGTCTGCCCTGATGACTCCCCTTGCTTCTGTAGGTGGGAGGCCACCCCGTGGACCGCGTGCTCCTCCTCGTGTGGGGGGGGCATCCAGAGCCGGGCAGTTTCCTGTGTGGAGGAGGACATCCAGGGGCATGTCACTTCAGTGGAAGAGTGGAAATGCATGTACACCCCTAAGATGCCCATCGTGCAGCCCTGCAACATTTTTGACTGCCCTAAATGGCTGGCACAGGAGTGGTCTCCGGTAACTGTGCCTTCTTTCTTTGTTCATTAGGAGAGTAAGTCCACTCTTCCCTCTCATCATCATGGCCCCACCGGGTACCCTGTGCAGCTCCACACTTCTCCTCTGGAGGTGTCTAGAAGCTTACCAGCTTAGCTCCTAGGAATGCCCCAAATCCAGCATGACCTAAAGTAAATGACTTCTTTTAATGTCTTTCTTCAAGTTACTTCAAGAAGCCTCTATTGCTGCCCAGATAAAGTTCCCTCAAATGGCACGGGGCAGAAAATGTCTTTCAAGAGCAATTGAGACTGAATGACTTACCCTGAATCTGTAAAAGCTGCTTCGATGATAGAGCTCAGTAGACCAGAAGTTTGATTTCAATTTTTATTGACTATACTCTGTCTATATCCAAGGAGGGTCTGAGTGGATTAAAATTTAAACTGTGTATATTATTCATTGGGGGGCAAAAAGGATGAAATTAAAATAGTACAATAAAGCAGGAGAATTAAAACCAAAGTATTATGGACATTAGGAAACCTGCTGTAATCAAACATAAAATGTCATTCCAGGTTTCCTGGCTACTAATACGAAAAGAGAAATGGCAAAGGAGATAGAAAGAGGATGAAATAAACATTGTGCCCTCAGCCATAGAAATGACAAAAGACTCTTCTCTGAGATGTGGCTTTGTGCCAGCAGACCAGAGCTGTGACTTTTTTTTATATCTAGACACACTGTCAGACATTAAGAACCACTGGAGGTGCTATCCACATTGGGCCATTCAATCAGTTCCTTTAAACATTTTTTTTTTCCATTTCGATATAATCAATTAGATTATCCATGCTGTAATATAAATTAACTAGCAGTTTAAAATGTTTTATTATCCATTTGGGAGCTAGCATTTCCCATATTTTTGGACATAGCAGTCATTAGCAAAGTAACCACATAAAAATGCAGTTTGGGTAATCAAAATTGAACATACTCTACAGTTTCTTTTCTCCTTTTTGGTGCTTGACTTGAGACTTTGCACACAGTGGGTGCTTAAGGATTGTTGACTGATTAATCCAAAGCTAAGAAATTGAAAGTGATTTAATTTTCAGCCAGCTTCACCTCAAGTAGCCAAACAGGATAAAGATCTCATGACTGGTAAGAACAGGTATAAACCCACCAGCAGTCCTCATATAAAAAGGAGTCTGTATATAAAAAGTATCAGGTGGGAAGTGAAGAAAAGTAAACAAGGCTTTGCCTATGAGTCTCCTCTCTCTTGCGATCTCTTTCCAGTGCACGGTGACGTGTGGCCAGGGCCTCAGGTACCGTGTGGTCCTCTGCATCGACCATCGAGGAATGCACACAGGGGGCTGTAGCCCCAAAACAAAGCCCCACATCAAAGAGGAATGCATCATACCCACTCCCTGCTATAAACCCAAAGGTAACTTGACAAGTGCTCTACTACCAGTCTGTTGATGGTTATGTGTATTCAGATACTGGTTTTAAACTTGGGGGATATTTTTAAGTATCCCAAGTATTCTTAGTAACAATTCATTATAACTTAGACTCTACTAAATGGTCTTGATTCTTTTTTAAATCTTTCAAATGGTTTTGATTGCAAATTTTGACTAAGGATTACGTGTAGAAATCTATGCAATTATCTCCTTAGTCATAAAATTGTTTGAAGATTGTTACTAAAAAATATTAGATACTCATATATCTGCTTAAAGGGCGACTAGATAGTATAGAAATATATGTTATGATTTACTATACACATTTCTTGCTATTAAAAATAAGGGAGTGGGTCAGAATGTGTCTACTTTGCTAAGTCTGAAATACACTGGGACATCTCATACTTTGAACTAATGAAACAGAAAACTTGTTTTTCATATGGAAAATTAAAACATAAATATGAGACTGAATTCCAGGCCATAATTTGAAATGAAAATTCAAAACATATCAGAATATAATAGATATTGCTAATAATTTATTAAAAAGAAATTTTAGAAAAGTTCTATGTAGTGAGAAAGATGTATTGTAATTATTTTAGGACTCTCCGATTAGCATGAATACTAATCTGATTTCCATGCTAGAATTGTAACTAGTCTGTGTGAGTGAGATAGAAAAATCCAAAGTCACAAACCATTCAAAAAAAAGAACTCTTTATCCTCCAATTTATAACATTAAATATTCCCTTTTCTTTCTTAATTTGTTCCATTAAATTTCCCAGAAAATGAGCTACAACGTAGCTCTTTATTATACTATAGGTTGCCCTTGGTGAGAATGAATGACATTATGAAATCTAAGTTAATGATATAAAAGGAAAGCAAAAAACAAAACATAACAGAAATCCTGATTAATTTTAACAAATGCATCTCTCATCTTAAAATGGGGATAATTACAATATCTACCTCAGAGATCATGTGAGAATTAAATGAGATATAATGTAAATAGGGTGCTTAGCCTTGTGCCTGACATATAGTAAGTTCTTTGTAAATGTTACCTTTAACTCTTGACTGTCATTAATGTCCTCAAATATGGGAGAAGGTGGCCACAGGTACATCTGACAGAATTCAGTTCAAATCCACAGTAAAGTAGTACAAGCCCATTATTGGTGCCGTACTGAATGCTTCAGTATTGAAAGACACAGCTAGCTCATGCTGTCAGAGTGGGCTTCATTGACTGAGACATTTCATTGTGATAGATGAGGTAGTTGTACAATGATGTATATATAGTGTGTTAGTCTGTTTTTGTTGTTTATAACATTAGTACCTGGAACTGGGTAATTTATAAAGAAAACAAAATTTATTGCTTGCAGTTTTGAAGGCTAGGAAGTCTAAAGTCCAAGGAACATGTCTGGTGAGGGTTGTCTTGGTGGCATTAGTGACCCAGGAGTCTCACATGGCAGAAATGGCAGAGCAGAGAGAGACTAATCTCTCATGTGCTCTTCTTGTAAAGCCCTCAGAGCCACACCCCTGACCATTATTAATCCATTCACTATGGCTTGGTCCTACAATCTAATCACCTCTTTAAGGCCCAACCTTTCAATTACCATGATAGGATTTCCCACCCTCTGTAGTTACAGTGGGAATTAAGCTCCTAATGTATGGACTTTGGGGGACACGGATTAGTCAGTCCACAGCATATAGGTACCATGTTGCTGTGTTTAAAATATTAGTGAATCATTTTGGCTTTGCCAGCTTTACGTGTCTCACTCCCTTTGTTTTCTGGCTATAAACAATTGCTGCACGAAACAAGGGCCCTTTGTCAAGTTGATAAACATCCATATCTGGCCCAGGAGTCAGGAAAACAGAAAGACAATGCAGTGGAGTTAGAGCAATTGTAGTCCCAGAGGCTGTTTCATGCCAGCTAGGTGTCAGCAGATCAGGAGTGTCATGTGTCAGCTGCAAAATGGCTGCTTCCTTCTTTCTGTCTTTCACAAAAATGTCTTGTGGTTACCTAACTGGAAACATACAAGAAACAGAATTCTGATAATGTTTAAGATTCCTGTTTGTTTATTTAACAAATATTCGTTAAAAATTTGTATTTGTTGTTAAAAAAAAAAAAAAAGCAGACGAGCAGATCTAGGAAAAGTAGGTTGTGGGGAAAACAGGATAATTTAGTCAGGCTCCCTCAGCTCAGGTCTGGTTGGGGGTCGTGCAGCACATTTCTTGTAAACAAGCTGTGTGTGGGTGGAGTTAGTGTGCATGTGCACCCATGTATCTTTTTAGTTTTGTTGCTATTCTGTGTTCTTCAGTTTGTAAAGCAGAGCTGGCCACAGAGCTCATGTCTAAAAATAGAGCATGTTTGCTCTGCTGGCAGCTGCTCAGTTTCAGTTTTTCTTTGGACAGGTTGGGGGGAAAACAGGATAATTTAGTCAGGCTCCCTCAGCTCAGGTCTGGTTGGGGGTCGTGCAGCACATTTCTTGTAAACAAGCTGTGTGTGGGTGGAGTTAGTGTGCATGTGCACCCATGTATCTTTTTAGTTTTGTTGCTATTCTGTGTTCTTCAGTTTGTAAAGCAGAGCTGGCCACAGAGCTCATGTCTAAAAATAGAGCATGTTTACTATGCTGGCAGCTGCTCAGTTTCAGTTTTTCTTTGGACTTTGCCAGTAGCAGTTGAGTTTGAGTTTCTCTGTGGACTGCTTGGCTCATATTGTTGTGTGTGCTGAATAAAGACTATTCCTTCTTCAAAAAAAAAAAAAAAAAAAAAGAGAAACAATTGCTGCACATGAAGGACAAGGAGTGATGCTCCTAATATAAAATAGTCAATTATTCATTAGCTCTATCTTTACCAAACCACTTCATGGACAGAAAAACAGTTTGTGGTTAACTATCAAGAATGAAATCTGGATTTTCACAACTAGGGAGTGAGCCTGGCTCTCGAACGTCATTAAAATACCATATAATTCTATGGTGAATGCATATATAGACATATTTCTTTCATCTTGCAATTACATGTTATGAAACGGTGATAGAACTTCACTGGCTCATACTATAAAGGCAAATATGCCTATAAATGACCCTAATAAATATGTCAGAATGGGAATCTTGGCAGTTACTTCTGTAGGAGCAATTATAACCTCCCTTTTTCTTTTTGTATTCTGCAATTTTTCCCCCAGGAAATAGTTAGAAAGCTTGTTCAGAATTGTTTGGCCAAAGCTAGATAAATAGGTAAAACAAATCAAATTATGGATCATGGACCCCTAAGCTGTGCATATTTCAATTGTCATTGAGCCTTGGGGTGGTGTCGAATGAGTCACACATCTAAAGCAATGTTTTGTGAATTTCAGAGTGCCAAAGTTTGTTTTTGACAATGTGGCATAGATCACACTTAGCAAAAAGGCAAAAGAAGAAACCAAGTTAGAGTTTATGAAAATATCACAATATAGTTTACTGTACTTTGTGTTTGTTTTAAAAGGTAAATATCACTCTGTCTTTTCAATAGAAAATAGTGAAAAGATACTTTGATGATTCTTTATATGCATATTGAACTAGTGCTTCTATGGTTCTGACTTTCATCATAAATGGTCTTTTCTTTGCTATTCAACATAATAAAGGGGAAACATGTACCCCAAGTCTAGTATTATTAAACATTTTTAAAATTCAATTCTATTTTGCTTGATATAACCATCATCAGAGGCAGCAATTTACCTAAAAACTTATTATTTGTGGTTATCAACATAGTGATTTCTAAGTATAGTGCAAAACTAAGAACTGGCGAGGAGAAACAGGAATTCCCCTGAAATCCCAGATTGGTTTTAACCTCTTGTCTTTTATGTGCATGCACTTAATTCGCAGAGAAACTTCCAGTAGAGGCCAAGCTGCCGTGGTACAAACAAGCTCAAGAACTAGAAGAAGGAGCTGCTGTGTCAGAAGAACCCTCGTAAGTTTTAAAAGCACAATTGTTCTACCTTTGAAGCTGATTGTCTTAAAGAAAGCAGTGTCTCCCTGGTGGTAGCCTTTATGAGATCTGAACTAAGTGTAATCATCTTACCAAGGTTGAAATGAGGCTTTTTTTGGCTCTCTAATTAGAGATTAAACACATTTCAAAGTGTTTGTCAAAACTTATGGTTTATCTCTAAATACTTTTCCTGCTTTTGCCTAAAGTAAGAAAAGGAAGGCATAGTGCTTACCCTCTTCTCCAAAATCTGACCTCCTCTTTTCTCTTGTCAAGGGGCCAAAGGTGAGAAGGCCCAGGCTGCATCTGATGATGTTACGTGGATTTGGTGTGAAAGTCTGGGCACCTTTTCACACTCCTCATCTCTTGGCTTTGCAGTATAGCCACTCACAAAAACCAAAGTGTATGCAAAATATATCTGAGGGCAAGGGAAGTTTATTAGCTTTCTTTTCCTCTTCCTTGCTGGGATTGGTGTCAGGGGGAGACCCAGGTCTTTGCTGCACTTGGTCATGGTTCCATACCTACTCTGTTTTATCAAGGCCATGAAAATTTTAAGACCATTAGGCACAGATTTGCCAAATGCTTCA